AGAAGAAGAAGCCCTGAGGCTGCCGGGGTGCCCCGTGCCGGCTCCGTGCGGTGTGCCCGGGCCGGGCCGTGCCCGCCGAGCCGCCGTGAGCCGCGGCCGCCCCGGCGCGGGGTTAAGTAGCGGCTCCGGGAGGCTTCGCGCGTTGCCGCGGAGACGCCACGCCCCGTAAACATCCTCGGGCAGCGCCATTGGCCCGAGCGTTGCCATGGGCACCGGGCGGGATTTTGGGAGGGGAGGGGGGTGGTGGTACCCGGGGATGCTGGGGGGACCTTCACGGCCCGGGGCAAACCCAGCCGCGGCAGCCCCAAGGGGATGAGGAGGCTGCGGGGTGAACTTGTGGAGGGTTTCCAGTACCTGGAGGGGAGCGGCGAGGAAACGGAGCGGGACTTTCTGCAAGGGCGCGTAGCGATGGGACAAGGGGGAACGGCTTCAAACTGAAAGGGAGTAGGTTTAGATTAGATAATAGTAAGAAACTCTCTACTGCGAGGGTGTTGGAACACGTTGTCCAGAGAAGCTGCGGCTGCCCCATCCCTGGAAGTGTCCAAGGCCAGGTTGGATGTGGCTAAGTGCAACCTGGTCTAGTTGAAGGTGTTCCTGCCCACAGCAAGAGGGAGTTGGAAAGAGATGGTCTTTAACATCCTTCTAACCCAAACCATTCAGTGATTCAATGAAAATCTGTGTCCTGTCCCACAGGGGCAACCTCAGCCCTCTTCCTCCCACCTGTGCTTCCATCCCGCTTCTGGCTCCCAGTGCACCCACAGCAATGAGGGCAAAGCTGAAGGGGGGATGGCAGACCCCAAAAATAAAGGATGGGGTCTGCCTTTATTTAGTTCAAAAAATCACAGCCATAGGCTTCTGTAAGAAAACCCTGCCCACCCTGCCTGCCATCTCAAGGGCTTTAACAGAGACCCCTTTGCAGGATCTGACCATCTGCAACCTGTCCCTGCAGCTTGTTTGCTCACAGGTTGGACTCAGTGACTTCAGAGGTCTTTTCCAACCTGATTCTGATTTTGATTCTGATTCAGCTGCAAGGTGCTTCTCCCCACCATCATCAGCCCCCCTATCAAACCCAAATTATAACCTCTCTTACTGCCCTCCTCATCTTCAAGACTTCATCTCCCAGCACAAGTTTTCTTCCCCAGCACTGGATGGGTTTCTCTTGCATGATCTCCCAGCTTCTCAGTGCTCCTCTTCTCCAAAGTTCCCTCTGGGTGACCTCATCTGTCCCAGCAGTGCCAGGGGCCACCCACACCCCACACCAGGAAGGTGCCTCTACCCCAGGTCAGACTCTTCCTGCAGAGGTTTTTTGCATTTGTCCTTTCTCCATCCTGGGCTCAGAGGAGGCAAAGTCTAGGATAGGTTGGGAATGCAGGTTCAAAGGGACCTTGGGAAGTATTTTAGGACATTTGAAGCAGCTGGGCTGGTATGGGGGAGGTGCCTGAGTGACATGTAGGTGGACACTTCCATCCAAAAAGGGTTTCCACCCACCAAGCCCCCCCAAACCCCGACTGCCCTCAGCCTGCAACCACAAAATTACTCCGGACACTTTGTCGACATAAGATACCCTTTATTAAACATACTCTTAAAACCCAGAACATGCTCAAAGCAAAGTCGTAAGCAGCAATCTGGTTTCCTTCCTTAAATCCCTGACTGGTGGGTCACTGGAACAAGAGGCTGCCCCGTGAGACAAGGGGCTGTCACCTTTCCCCCCCCCAACACTGCGCTGGCAGCTCCTGCCCGTCCCTTGTCCCTTCTGGGGTGTCACCCATGCCCAAATCCAAATCCCGTCTCTCCTGTGCCACCCAGAGGATGAATTCTTTGCTCACAGCCAGGCAGCAGCACTTTGCTTTGGCCACAGCATCGTCCTGGCTCCTCTCCATCTCCACAGGCTCACTGCCAGCCACGGTCGCTCCGAGTGAGGGGCAGTGCCCACCCACAGCCACCCGGGTCTGCAGCCACCCCATGAGCTTCTCTGGCCACTCCTGCAGCCTTGGGGACACACAGCTCAGAGCAGCAAGAAAACCCAGTCAGTCAGTCAGTCAGTCAGTCCCAGGACCTGCTTGCTCTGCCCTGACCTGCTGGCAGCCACCAGCACCATCACAGCCCTGTGCCAGGGTGCCAGGCCAGCTCTCCTTGTCCCCTTGGAAACCACGAGGAAGGTTGAGCTTTGGTAGATGAGCCACTCCTGGAGCATCAGCCTGATTTTCCCATCCCTGCCTGTGCTGGAAGGTTATGGAAGATGTGGCCTCCCTGTTTTTCTCAGCTCAGCATGATGCTGAACCTCCAAAGCTCTCCTTGTGCCCAGTGCAGTGCTGGTGGTTCCTTGGGGCTGGGACACCCAAATCCGTGTCCCCACAGGGGGATGCAGCCTGTCCCCAGATGGGACACAGGGCTTGTCCCCACCACTGGAGCCCTCCCTGCTGTTTGCAGCTCCCATCCCGCACCCCACAGGATGGAATTTGGGAGATGTCACTTCACCTCAAGGACCCAGCTCTGAGTGCCCAGGGAGGAATTTGGGAGCTGTTGAGCTTCCAGGAGGTGTGACAGAGTGCCAGCCCAGAGGAGGGAGCAGCGGGATGGCTGACTCCAAACCCACCTCTGGCAGGACCCACACCTGGGCCATGGAGTGAGCAATTCCCTAGCAGAGAAAACACCTCCCAACTCCCAAAGGGCTTCTTTCCCCTTTAGGGGCCACAGCCATCAGCACAGCCCACGGTCTGACGTGGGGATTGGCAGTGGGGACTTGCTTTCCCCACACCCCCCACAGTGATGTTGCTTTCAGTGGATGAACATCTCTGTCCTAAGGTGGCTCTGAACTGCAGCTTCCTCCTGCAAAGAGGAGTTGGGCCTTGCTATCACACCTGCACGACAAAACCCAGTGGGGAAAAGGGAGGCTCAGCCTCTACCCTGGGCTGCCCCAAACAGATCCAGAGCTCAGGAGATTGGGTCTGATGCTCCTCAGAGTGGCTTCTGACTGTCCCTGGTGCTCTCTGGAGTGAAGCCTGGCCTCTGCCGACAGCCCCATCAGGTCCCCGAGGTCTGTGGATTCATCCCTCCCCCTTTCTGTCCCTGTGTGTGTCTGTCCCCTGGAGCAAAACCCGCTTATGCTGCTGGCCCGACCCTGGCCAGAGGGATGGGGATGGAGGGATGGGGGGGCAGCTCCCACACCCTCATCCACCCCCTGCTACAAAGTGCGATGGGGAGGGCAGGACGGGTGGGACGGGGGTGACACTTTTGGCACTTGTTCCAGAGAGAGGGCGCAGCCCCGAGCCCTGAGCTCACAGCAGGGCGGAAGACGGTGAGGGTAAGTTAGCAATGCCCCAGGGGCTGGTGACCGTGCTGGGGGTGGTACCAGGTGCCCTGCCCACCCCTGCCACCCTGCTCCATCTCCTGGGGAAAAGCAACCTCACGGGCCAGGCCCTGGAGCCCACATGCTGCTCAGGAGGAGGGTGGAGGGAGGGGGAGCTGGGGGGGACACCATCACTGTCAGTGCATTAATGGGGACAGTCCATGCCATGGAAGGGGCATGGGCCAGCAAACCTGGGGGGGAGGGCAGCCCCCCATGAAGGTCACCAGCTCATGCACCGAGGATGTCAATGCCGACACTCACCCCTGAGCACCATCCTCCCATCACCTCCATCCATCCACACCCCAGGACCCCTTTCGTGGGCTGACCCTGTCCCATCTGCTCCGCACGCTGGAGGAGAGGAGCCCGGGGGTGTGAGATGGCCAGGGGCAGGAGGGGACCCCAGCCCGTCCCTGTCAGGGCTGGAGAACAGGAAGGTGCTACTGAGGGGCTCCAACGTGACATGGCTTTAGCCCCCAAGAAGAAGTCGAGGTTACCGTCTTTTCTTTTGAAAGTCAGTCCAGGTGCAGCTGAGGGGCGGAGGTGGTGATGCCCATGGCACCCGGACACCAGGGTCCCTCTGGGTGGGCAGGGGGGTCCGTGCCCCCGCCAAGGCTGAGCTCTCACACGGGCAGGGTGGCCGCTGCCTGCTCCAGGTCTCGGGTGCCGGGTGTCTGCTGCAGCCACACGTTGTTGTTGGCGGCCTCTGGGCCTGGGGGGAGAAGAAAGGGGGTCAGGGGCTCCCAAAACCCATTGACGCTCTCAGCTCATCTTTCCACGGGGTGGGGGGGGGGATGCAGTTTAATTTCCCAAGTAACACCCACTTCCCCAGCCTCCCTTTGTGTTGTGGCTGTGGTGAGGGCTGGTGAGTGGCTGCACTTACCTCTCCAGGCTGGGGGAGCCCTTTCAGCCCCTGGCTTCTCGGGAATGCCGAGGGCCAAACAAGAAATCCCAGCGTGACCACGGCTGGGTTTGAATAACCCAAATGAAAAGGGGGCTGCCTCTGCCTGCCCTGCCCAGCCAGAGGGCACGTGCAGACGCCCTGTGGGGCTGCAGGTTGGGCACGAAGGGATGTCACCGTGGCCTGGATAGCGAGGGGGTTGCCAGTAATGCCGGAACGAGGGGCGCCAACCCAGCGCCAACCCCCCCCAGGGTGACAGGGCGCGAGGCGGGCGCGGGCTCTGGGGGTCTCATACCTATTCCTCAATGTTAATGGGGCAGGAGTCCGGCACGGCAGCTGCGTGGCAGGAGAGACCAGAAGGCACATGGTGAAGGTGGGAGAGGAGGCAGCGGGATGGGGACATGCACGCGAGCGAGCAAACGGGGGCTGGGGGGGACCAGGGGTCTCACCGCCTGCAAGCAAGAGGGGTCCCTCATGCATGGGGGTTTCGTGCCAAGGAGAACCGAGGGGTGGGCATGCTCATGGGGTGCCCCCATGACTCCTCTCCGGCTGCAGGCTCCCCCCAATTCAGGCAGCACCCTCCAGTTGGGACAGGGCAGAAGATTGTGTCGCACCACCAAACCCAGCAGGGGCTCAGGAAGCGGGTGTGCCCCTAAAGCAGGGGGCTGCACCCACCAGTGAGGTTAAACCCTGTGCCCAGAGCAGCTCTGAGCCAGAGGGACTGTGCGAGGGCACGTTAAGGCCAAGGGATGAGGCTTCCCCAGAGAAGGAGGCAACAAAATCCTGCTGCCTGCTGATTTATGCAAGGTGACAGCTGCCATTTCGACTGGCTTTTCATGGCGAGCTCAGAGCTGGAGAGGGAGGCATGTTAAGTCTGCAGATCCCGGAGGGAATGGATAATTAAACAGGACCGCATGTACATGCACACCGAAATCCCATTAAGAGCTTGATATTGCCTAAGTCACTGCAGAGCTCCAGTGCAGAGAGCCAGCTCAGCTCAGTGCACCCTTGGGAGGCTGCTGAGGGGTAGGGCTGGGGCAGCAGGACAGGGTCTGGCCCTGATGCAGGGTATCAGCCCCATGTCCACGCCTTGGGCTGCAGGAGGGGTTTCCCCTGCCATCAGCAGCCAGCAAACCTGTCCTGGGCAGACCAGCTCCTAAATCCCTTCACAGTGAAACACAACCAGATCCCTTGGCCTGCTGTGGGATCACTTGGAGCATCTGTGGCTTTAAATCAGCAAAAGCCCTTGGGGGATTTCAGGTCTTCTGCAGCAGCTCCCCAGCCCTCCCACCTTGGTGCCAACCTTTTCAGCAGGAACCTTCCCCCAGTTTCTCTTTTCAAAGCTGTTTTTGCCACCCTGTCCCCTGATTGTGGCTACAGCCAAAGATGCTCTGAGCCCTGGGGACAGCCCCTGCAACTCGCTCCACACCCCATGGCTCTGCAGGTTCCACTCAGGACACAGATGTGCATGTTTTAGTTAAACCTTGTGTCCTAAAATCCCTGGGATGTGGCCTTTCACCTCCTCCCAAAGCCCTTCCCCAGCAGATTGAAATCTGCAGAGATTTCACAGCAGCTTTGAGGAACCACATCTCCACTACCAAGAAGGCAAAAATATAATTATCAAATCTCAACATCATTCCATGGGCTTGGAGACTCTCCTAGATGTGGCTACTTGAACACCACAGATCTCAAAGGCCAGGGTGTAACTGTCTTCAGAGGTCCCCAAAAATCAGTGAATGGGGTTGTCATGCACTGGGAACAAGTCCTTAGAACTCTGATGAACGATACAGCCAAAACAAAACCGCAAGATATGGAACACCCTCAGTCTGTCTCACCGTGAACCTAAAGGACTGTAAATTGAAAGATACAAAACTGGTCTTATCTCCTCATGATATAGAATCTGACTGTGTCCTAGAGGGTTTAAGGGTGCCCAGCATACTCCCCAGCATACTCCCAAACCTATCAAACTACTCCTGAATGTTTCACCGGCCAGACCATATGAGGTCAAATTGGTTGGACGACAACAAACATTGTTTCATCCTGGTTCCTTAAAGAGAGCAGAAATGTCCATGCAGACCAACGTTTCTCCTATCAGACCAAAATGTTCACCTTTTACAGGATGGTTTTCCTGACTAAACCAGAGGCCATCACCTCTCACATCTGACTCGTATACTGGGAACTGGAACAGGGATATTGAACAATACTGATCTGGAAACTCTGGCTAATAAATTGGGCACAACCATGAATGATTTGAGCACTACAGAGCAACCCTTAAGTTCTTCTTTATCCTCTCTTTGAAACACAGAGTGGTCACATTCAACTATCTTTTCTGCTTCAGGAAAATATCAAAATGCTAACAACCTGTCTGATGCTCTGGGAATTGCTCAAAGCAAAGTGCCTTCAGCACTCAGCTGTATCTCAGCTCAGTTGTGGCTACACTCTATCAGTGCTGTGACAATCAGAGAAGGGAAAAACGGACTTTTATTTTGAATTAACCTGACATTGCAAAGGTAATTTTGGATATTGCCACTGCATTCGAAAGGGAATTTCAATCCTGGTGGTCTATAATCAGATTTTATCTCCCCATTTCTAATAAGGTCACAGCTTTTGTCTTAGCAATATGCAATGCTTCTATACCATATACCCAATCCTTGTGCTCGTAACAGAACTAGATCCACAAGAACATCAAGCATTGGGTTTTAAGAACAATCATACACACATATAGCAAACCACTGATGTAGATGCTTGTGTGGTGAGACAATGACAGGGGTTTATATGTGAAAGTAAATACTTTGAAAGCCCAAGATGCCTGTTTGGACACAGAGCTGCGTCTGTCATTTTGAAATGTCTCCTGACACTGATCCTGAATCCATCCCAGTATCCACAGAACAAGGGTGTGTAATGTCTAAGAACCCCTTGTGGTAATTTAACAGTGGATGACACAAAGATACAGCTTTCTAACCATTCAATTCTATATAGCTGTAACTTCAACTACTCCCTACCAAAAATTGTGTACCAGAGCACATGTGACAACGTCACATTACGTGACACCTCCCCTCCAACCACTCCTGGGATGGACATTGCCCTGGTTAAAAACTGCTGGAACATCCTGATCTACACAGACTGGTACAACATCTGAAAAGGGAAAGTTGTAAAACATTAATCACTGTCCATCATGATGTGGAAAAAAGTACATCATGTCGTACAGTGAGTGTAAAGGGATGGAGAACATCACTGGTGCTCCTCCCACTGGGCCCTCTGCCATCCTTGGGGGACCATGGGCAGCCCTAGAGCCCCCACTCTGCACCTCCTCTGCCCCCGGTCCTGGCACGAGTGGTAATTCCCTGCTTTTCCCCGCAAATGCCGAGGCTGGATGGCCCCTCATGCAGGGCAGCTCCGTGCCGAGGGCTCCAAGCAGCACAGCCACCAGACACACGGACAGGCACGGTGGCCAAAGGATGGAGAGCCCATCCTTGGCTGGGCTTGTCCCGGGGGCCAGATCCTGCACCCCAGCCCAGGCTGGGGACACGGCCAGTGCACTCCTCACAGCAGAGCAAGAATCTGACCCTGTGCTGGAGCCTTTGGGGCTGCAAAGCTCCCCCTTCCTCATCCTCCCCCTGGCACAACCAAGGGGGATGCAGTCAAGGATGGCTTTGGCTGGTGCCACAGCCAAGGGATGCTTTGCCAGGCTCCCCAGCAAGACAGAGGTGCTGCTGGGACACCCCCCCAGCTCCCTCCCCAGCCTCCCTGGGCTGGCAGGGCTCAGGCAGCTGCTTCCAGAGGGTGATGGAGGGGACATAGGACTTTTGTGGCAGAAGCCTGTTCCTCCCCAAGAGCCTCAGCTGTGTTTCTCCAGCACAGAAACCACCAGGAACAGGCACGGCAGCAGGAGAGGAGGCTTTTCCAATGGAGTAGGTGGGGGAAAAGGATTTCCCTTCCCTCCAGTGGGTTTCACCCACCCTCTTGGCTCTCCAGCACCTGCTGCAGGTTTGGGACCTGCCACAAAGTTAGGCAGAGGGGCAAGGCAAGGGCAGAGTTGCTTTCAACTTGTCCACAAATGTATTGATGGAGACCCCTCGGAGGGCTTTGTCTTGTTTGTTTGCCCCATTTCTCCACCCACAGGCTGAGGAAGGGTCCCCAGCCCACTGCTCCCTTTGGCCCGTGGGGGGACCAGGGGTCACCAATACATTTGTCACCTTTGTGCAACTCTGGGCAGGGAGGGGACACAAGCGTGGGTGGAGAGAACCGTGTTGGCACAGAGCGAACATGAACTTTCACACGGACGGAGGAGCCTGGGGGGAAGGAAGAAGAGAAAAAAAGAGATGGAGAGAGGGTGGGAGGAAACAGAACTGGAAGGAGGGTGGGAGAGAAAGCATGAAGAAATGGGAAAGAGGGATGAATGTGGGGCTCTGTAGAAAGATGACTGGACCTGACATGCCCCATCTCCCTGGCCTTGGAGGAAGAGGAGGAAGAGGAAGAAGAAGAGGAAGAAGCAGGCAGTTCCTGATGTAAAGCTGGACTGGCTGTGGATCACATCCCAGTGCAAATACTGCTGCTCCCACCATGAGCCTGGACCAGGCTACAGTTGTGCCACCTTGCCAGCAGCCCCCTGGCCAAGGGACAGAACATCCCATCAAAGCAGGTCTGCAGCCCCCTGGGGACATTCCAGTGGGGACAGGCTACCCTGACCTATGGGGGGTGACGTGCCTGGTGCTCGGCCCTGCAGCGAGATGGGTGGTGGGGTGCACTGAGGACGGCCTGGCAGGGATGGTGGTGGCTGGGATGGCGGGAATGACGGTGACGGGAGAGGAGGGATGGACACAAAGGGCTGGGGGGATGCAGGGAAGAGTGGGACTGTCCCCCCCCCAACCCAAGTTCATGTTCAGCAGACGGCCACTCACCAGGTAAGCAGGCCTCAGAGCACAGCTTATTGTCCAGCGCTTTCACGTGTGCGATGCCCATGTCATTGTTATTGTCACACCTCAGACCGAGGAAAGCGCCTGTCCTCGGGCCTGGAAGGGAGTTAAGGCAGTTAACGGCGCTGGGGCTCCACGCTGCCTTTTTAGCACCGGGGCGGGGGTGTGGGGTTTCTGGGGTTTTTCCTCTCCCCTCCCCAGCCTCTTTCAAAAACAAAAAGTAGGTAGGAACAACGCATCTAGGTGGGAGCGGGTGAAGAGCGGACAATAACTCCTGGGCACAGCCCGAGCTGCTCCCTCCCTCGCGCCGGAGGGCAGCGGGACAGCGACGATGCAGCGATGGGCACGCGCGTGAACCCGCCCAGGGTTCAGCCAAACCTTCCCCCCAGCACAGCTGAGTGCTCCCTGGGCGGTAGAGCCAGGCCATAGTGGCATCAATCACCTCCTGCCAGAGCCTGCCCAGCACCATGGGTGCGTGTGGGAGCCGTGTGGATGCCCGGAGGAGGCAGCAGCTGGATGCGAGGGGCGAAAGAAGCCGTAGCCAAGCTTTTGCAGGGAAATGGAGGCTTTGGGGGCTGAAGGAGGTTAAATCTGCTTCTTAGCACCACCTGTACAAGAGATCAGCCCCCAGGTCCTCGCCTGCATCCATCAGATGCAGGTGACTGAACCTCAGGAGGGATGTTCCCAAATAAGCCCTGCTGAGAATGGGAGCAGGACCGTGTCCTAAGGAGAAAGGCCATCCTGCTCCCAGAATCGTTGGGATGCCTGTGGACGTCCACCACAGCCCCTGGTTGTCCCTACTTGTCATATTTGAATCTCCCCATCAGCAAGAAGTTCTCTGCAGGGCAGAGGCCACATTTTGGGGATGGGATGGTTCCTGCTTTCCAGCTTGGCTGAGTGCCCGGGTTGGAGGGGGAAACAGTTTTGGTATAATTTGCTAACAAGAAACTTGCAAATACAGAAAGGGGCACACTATGTGCCTCCCTATTGCCCAAAAGCGAACCAGGGCAGTTGGTGGCTGATGGCAACTCTTTCCTTGGCTATTTGAGCTCAAAGGAGGAGGCAAGAAGAGCCCTTGATGTGCGTATGTTGACTTGCGAAATCACACTGAGGACAGGCCAAAAAACATGAGGAAAGCATCCCAAGGGGAACAGCTTTGCAGCCCCTTTACTATGGGAATCAGCCCAGACTTTAATCCCTACAGGGGAGGCTTTCAGAGATGTGAGGAAAACCTTGTTGAGGAGGAAAACACAGTGAAGCCTCTTTCCCACTTGGCTTGTTGGAAAAACCACTGGATGCTGCACATCAACCATCACCTGCTCCATGTCCTGCACTGAGCTCACTGGGGTCCCCCACGGCCACCTGGCTCCCCTACTCACTGGTGTTCAACCCACCCACGGGTGGCCCTGCTGTGATTGATGTTTCCTTGGCTCTGGTGCCTGTGGAGTCACCCAGGGCTGTCCCTGATGGCAGGGAGGGGAGCTGGAGACAACACAGCACCTGCCACTCATGGCTGCCCACTGGTGACAGCGACCTGAATGTGAAGGGACAACAACAAGCCAGGGCCTTTTACCGTCTTCCTGCGTGGGAGAGGCATCCTCATCCTCCAGCACGTCGTTGCCCTGCGGCACAGGCGAGAGGCAGCATTAGCCAGGGCTGCTCCCAGGTGCCCCTGGGGGAATGTCCCTGGCCCTGGGAGATTCCATGGACCAGGAGGACGATCATGGCCAAGGGACAGCCCCACTGCCTCATCCATCCCCAGGGCAGCCCACAGGGACACAGATGTGTCGGCAGCCCCTTCCCCATTCCAGCCCCAGGGGAGTGTGGTGCCAGCTGCCCAGCTTCTCCCTCCCTGGGCACCCGGAGATGGATGCAACCGGGATCCCCCCTCCACGCTGGGGGTCACCACAGCTCCCAGTCCCTCGTGGGTGGTTACAGTTACCTCGGCATCGCGCTCCTCGGCAGAGATGCTGACAAAGTTTGCATCCGGGGACTCCACAGGCGTTGACTGCAGGAAGAAGGGGGGAAAGATGGATGGAAAAACAAATAAAAAAGTCCTGGTGCCAGTGGGTTTGGAGGAAAAGTTACATCCCATGGGAAAGCTCTCCAACCTGGGGGTGATGGGCACCATCAACAACCCCCCAGCCCCTACCTCTCCATCAGAGGCTGTGGCGCTTGCGGCTGCGGGTGAGGGGAGCATGTCCCCCTCCTCCTCCTCTTCCTCCTCCTCCTCCTCTTCTTCCTCTGTGCCAGGAGCAACGTAGGAGCCAGACATGGAAGACACAGTGTCGGTGCTGAGCTGGGAGTGCTGGCTCTGGGAGGAGGCCATGGACATGACGGACTGAGCCAGGCTGCTGCTGACGGGCTCTGGGGGAGAGCAGGGGCTGAGCGGGGCTGCTGGACCCCCCAGCCCCTCAGTGCAAATCACGGCACAGCACCCGCTGATTAAAGAGGGGGCTAATGAGGAGGAAGGACTGCCATGCCATGGAGATGGGACAGGTGCAAAGCTGCCAGCAGTGGGCCCCCCATTTCTGTGGGGTGGCAAAGCAGACGTGACTGGTGCCTCCATGAGCCCCATTTCCAGGTCTACAAGTGACAAAGCAGAGGTGACACCCTGGGGGGCTCCATGAAGTGTCTGTGACAGGTTGGGAAGGGCCATGGCAACCCACTCTGCATCCCCCTGCAGTGGGACGGTCCTAAGACCACGATGCCACTCTCCTGCCTTGCCAGCACCCACGAGCCCCACCCCTGGGGGGAGCCCCATCTGTACCTTCTGGGGATGAAATGGTGGAAGAGAGGGGTGTCCCAGTGCACGAGGACTGGTCAATGGCTCCTGATGATGACAGGGTGAAGTTTTCGCTCTCTGGTGTCGCGCCACACTCCTGGAAGAGCAGCCCATGGGAAGGGTGGGATAGGAGATATTCAGCGTAGATGAACCGCTGAAGCATCCTCAAACCCCAGCCACGCCCTCTAGTCCCAAGCCTCCCCAGACCTGCTGCCCCTCCAGTGCCTCGGCTCACCACCAGCACTCACCTCCTCGCACCGGGCTGGGGATCTCCTCCTGGAGACTCTCGACTCCGACTCGGTGCATGACTTCTCGTCCTCCTCTTCGGGCAGGATGGAGGAGTTCTGTGAGATGGACCTGGCCAGAGAGGGCAAAGCAAAAGGCTTCACCCCCGCCCACAGACCCCCTGGGCCCTCCCAGACCCCTGTGCCCACCCTCGTACTGACTTGGAGATGCTCTTCTTCAGCTTGAGCCCCGGGGGACCGCAGTCAGGCAGGCGCTGGAGGGGTGAGAGGGCCCTCAGGGCGGGCAGGGGGCCATCACTGCCGTAGGAGGGGAGGGTCCCCACGCCCGGGGGGTCCCCCAGGGCCCGCAGGGGCAGAGCAGCTGGCGAGGGCGTCAGTGGCCCATTGAGGGCCTCCAGCAGCGACACCACCTCATAGCCAGGGGGGATGTTCTCTGAGGACTAGGGAGAAGGAAGAGACAGGGTGATGATCCTCCCCGGGCCATTTTGCTGCACTCCCTCCCTCCCAGCAGGATGAGGGTGTCCCAGGGAGAAGATAAACCCAGGGAACAGACACCCAGCCAAACATCCCTTCTTTATGTAATACCAACCCTGCATTTTGGTCCATTTGCATTAAACAAACAAGCCTTTTCCCTGGGAAGCACATGGCTCCCCAGACATCCCCACCCTGATCTCAGCAGGCTGGAAGGGGTGGGGGTCCTGCATTCAGCCAGGCACTGACCGAGTGCTCCTCGGAGTCCGAGGTCTGCGAGGCGATGATGGGGTTGAAGGTGGTGGGCGAGAGGGGACCCAGCTTCTTCCTCATGGCTCGGATTTGAAGCAGGGCTCGGAAAGCTGCGCCAGCAGGGGAGAAGGGGAGGGGGGTGAAAACCGGGCGCAGAGAGGAGACCCCTCAAAAAAAAAAAATACCACCCCGTTTTCCAAGAGGGGCAATCCCCACTCTGCAGGGCATCACCACACATGGGGCTGGAGGGACTGCAGAATGAAGGATGGGAGATGCCAGCCCCTTCCCAGAGGTGCCAGCCACCCCACCCAAGGCACCAGCCCCGGCCCTTACGCAGCCTGCAGATGGGGCAGTTGTTGGCCTGGTAGCGCAGGGTGTCGGCGCAGGTGTTGCAGAGGCAGAGGTGCCGGCAGGGCAGGATGAGGGTGTCGCGCACGTCCGACAGGCAGACCACACACTCGGCACTGTTGTCGCTCACCTCGTCCTCGGCCACCTGCCCCGAGGGAAGGATGGGCACTGCTCAGGGCCCTCAGTGTCCCCAGCCCACATGGCACGAGGGTGGGGTGCTCTGAAATAGTGCCTGGGTGCTCAGAGTGCTCACTGTGAGGTCCTGCTTGTGTCCACGGGCTGCGTGCTCTTGAAATACACCCCTGGCTCTTATTCCTCCCCTGCTGGAGGCTGGGAGATGGGGCCAGAGGCAAGAGATTCGACCTTCACCCCAACTTTTACACGTATAGAGCAGAGCACGAGGCACATCCCATTCCCTGAGCCCCACACTCCCTGTCTAAGCCAGCAAGATCCAGCCATCACCTTCCCACAGGACCACAAGGGATGGGGGAAGAGCTCAGTCATTCAGCTTTCTGCCTCCTGCAGCTTCGATGCCAGCACAAAATGTCCCCAAACACCAGCAGTTCTGTGCTGTGCTGCCAGCTCTTGCCCTGAGCATGTTTTAGGGACTGGACCTGCGCTAGAGGAAGGGAAGAGGGGATGAGGTGAGGCCCACAGGATGCAGGGACATACCTTGGAATCCTGTGTGTTGTACTTGTTCTCGATGCCGTAGATCTCCTGCAGGAGGTAGCTCACACCATCCACCTGCAATCCCACGGGGAAGGGTGAGGAGCAGAGACATGCATCGATTCTTTTTGCATTGACACACTCGAAATTGCATCCAAAATGCTCCCCCGGAGGCAGGGGCAGGGCAGGGGCTCCCCAAAAGCCCCTCAACACCTCCTCTCCAGGGTCTGCAGAGGAGCTGCCACCACCTCAGGGGACACTCAGACACTCACCACTTGCTTCTGCTTGAGAGGCTTCACACAGAAGGTGCCATCGCTGTGCTGGAAGGAGGAGAGAACACATGGGTGGGCACCCATGGGCTGCTGTGCTGGAGCACCCACCCACCCCATGGTTGTCACTGTTCCCTCCTCACTCCCAACTGGTCAATTTAGCAGGAATTCTGGCTTTTCCTGACACCCCAGTACCAGGGAGCTGTGGGATGTCACAGGCATTAAAAGCTAGAGACTTGTTGGAGGAAGGAAGATGGAGTTGAGCCCAAATGCCACTGAAGTGGGTGATTAAAATGAGGGAATAGCGCCAGAATTTGAGGAGCAGCCCCAAAACAGCCCCAGCCCAGCAGAACCATCCTGAGCCCCTCAGGGATCCTCCAGGCTCTCATGGCCAGTGAGTGAGGGGGTAGGAGCGGGAGGATGGCCCCAGCTTGGCACTTACCTTCTCAAAGGTGGCCAGCAGCACATGGCAGTGCCCGAGGTGCTCTGCAAGACACAAAGGGACACACAGGGCTCAGGGGACAGGCAGAGCCACAGTGGCAGTAAAGAAAAGCAGGAGGCTCTGCCCAATTGGCATCACAATGCCAGCAGCTGGGAAAGCCCATCCCAACAAGGAACCCCCTCCTCACCCTCTCCTTCATCCACCACCGCCTGCACCACCATGGGATACACCTCCCGGTCCAGGTCGAAGCCCAGCTGGGGAGAGACAGGAGAGGATTGGTGAGATGGAGGTGGGATGAAGCCTCTGTCACTGCTACATCATCATACTCAGCCCCACAGTGGATGCTGGGGCTGGGGGAACCCACCTCCTCCTCGCTCCACTCTGAGGGGTCGATGGTGTGGGAGGGCACACAGAACTGCTGGCACACCCCCCGCTTGTAGTGCACTGTCTCCGACTGCAGGCTGTTGTCCCTGGGGATGTAGCTGTCCCATGGAGAGAGGACAGAGTTAGGGCACCACAGGTGTCCCCACACTCCCCCTGGTCCCCCCAGATCATGGAGACGTCAGGAAGGCAGGAGTTGGGAGGAAGTCACTCCTCCCCTCCCAGATGCTTCTTGAGGCTGAGGTAAGAAGTCCTAAAAGGGGCTAAAATAATCCACAGGGCTAAAATAAACACAGGGCAGCCAACACAGCACAGGAGGGGACCTGGAGAGCACCGGGAGGAACAATGATTTCTCCTGATCTCTGTTCTGACCTGAAGGTAAAGAGAGGGAACAAGATGGGATGGGGAAAAAGGTGGCAGGGGCTGGCAGGGACCGAGTGGTGGCACCTGGGGGAAGGAGAAGGAGCCCCCCTCCATCCTCAGCACCACCAGCAGCTGTCTCATGCCCTGAAGAGGAGAGATGCTCCAGGAGGGAGGGGCTCCAGGTCCATCAGCCAGGGGCATGCACCGGGCTTGGGGGAGCACAGGCCAGGCTAGAGGGGAACATGGGCGAGGCTGGAGGCTCCTCACCTGGCCACCCCATTGTGGAACTCCTCGGTTGCCTGGTAGTAGATGGTGATGGCCACACGGGTGTCGGTGTCAAAGGTGAACTCCACGTTGTAGTGCACCTTGGCTTTGCTGACTTCTTCCCCGGGGGTCTTCACCTCCTCCGAGCACCTGGGGAGCACAGAGGGTCCAGGAGATGGGCACCGCTCAGGAATGGCCCCAGAAAGGGGCGGCTGCCCTCCCTCGGGGGAAACTGAGGCACGCCAGGAGGGCCCGGCACGCCCAAGGTCGAGCCTTACAGGCTGGGAAGCACCGCAGACGGATTTCAGCCTAATCCCGAACCTCACAGCCCTGCCGCAATCCCCAGCCTCCCTCCAGCAAAGCCTTTGGAAGGTGGGGGAGGAAGAAGAAGCAGAGCACTTCAAAGGCAGCTCTAAGCTCCTTTAATCCTGCGGCAGTGCCTGTGCTGGCATGCGGGAACCACGAGGGGAAGGGCACGTTTGGAGACGACAGGCTCCTCATCCCTTCTATCAGCCCGTGCTGAAATGAGAGCAGCCCCGTGCACGCCAGCCCCTGGGAGCATCCAACCAGACCCTTCCCTCCCCGTGGCTCACGGCCAGGACTCACTTGACGAGGCGCAGGGTGTCCTTGCGGATATTGATTAAGCTCCTGAGGGTCTTCACGGGTTCCTGAGGAGGTGGAGCAGCGTAAGGGAACTAGGATGAGAGAGACACTGCTGAAGGCAGGCGCACATGGGGGGTTAGAGTGGCTGCGGACCCACCAGTGACCCAGACCCAACGCCCCGTGGAGGGAATTGGGGTGGGCAGGGCTGCTCCCGCTGGCGCAGGCAGCACGGTGACAAGGACATCCCTCGGCAAACAGCAATCCCAAAACCCCCTGCAGGGATAATTTCATCAGGGAGGGGTCACGAGGAGAGGAGTTCCTTGTCCCTTCGGCTGGAGGGCGAGGGGATTTAGAGCGCAAGCAGGCAGCTCTGATGGATATTTAGGCTGCTGGATGAGGTTGAAGCTCCCTCCCTGCCCACCAGGCAAGGAACCAGCACAAATGTCTCTGTTTCCTCCCTGGGATGGATGGGATTTGGGTAGTGGGATCCCTTCCAGCCCCATGCCCAGAGCAGGGAGCCAGTGGGGCAGCTGGGCAGGACCAGGCAGGCAGCAGCATCTGCTCTCCAGGGTAACATTGTCCTTCCCAGTCTTTCCTGTCCACCTGCACAGGGGCTACAGGGAAAAGGGGAGACAGTGGCACCGAGGGGACACCCTCTCCTTGGCACTACAGTCACCCACAGGAGACCAAGGACACTGGGGAAGGGATGCAGGACCCACCTCCCCCCTGTCAATCTCCATCTCCCACGCAGGTTGAGGTTCAGGAGGGATCAGCCCCAATTAAGGCCCAGCTTGTTGCCCAGCTGTCATTACGTGCCAGGGGACAGCCAGGAGGGTGTCAGGTGCCATCGGGGAGGGCAGATGCTCAAAGAGCCTCAACTGTTGCCTTAGGAGATGAAATAGTGTGTCCCATTGTCCCCCCACACCACCCCCAGCCCAGAGAGGAGAGATAGCAAGGCACCCACTGCACCCCAATACTGAGGGGACGAGACCGAATTGCAAGTGGCACTTGGGGGTGGCCTGCAGCGATCCAGGTGACCCCTCCCCATGTCCCTGGTGTCCTCACATAGGAAACCCAGTCACCTAACCTGTACCCAAAGCTATCATCTCCTTCCCTGCCCCCCAAAGCCCTGCAAAACAGGATGGCTGGGGCTGAGGGACCGGTGCTGGGCTCAGAGGGACAGGCTGGGACAGGCAGCTGGCAGAACCCAGCAGTGCAGGTACAGCTCTGCCCCCTCCCTCCTCCACCATCCCAGCACTACAATATCCAACCATCCCACGGCTCCAATCCCACTGGGGCCATCCAAAGGCAGATTAAAGCCTAGGCATAACACCAGAATGAATTTCGAGCACTGCAGAACTGCATCCTACTCCTCTAGTCCCCTCCAGAAGGGCAAAAGGGCAGCAGAGTCATTAGCCTGGCCTTAACGAACTTTTGAACTTTTTGACTGAAAAACGTGCACCTGCAGAACTGTGCACCTGCAGAGCCACCCATGGCAGCTGGAAAGGAGAAAGTGAGAAAAGGCCTCTGGGCTGGAGCTGAGCCACTTCACGACAGGTCGTGCCATGTTGCGATACATCCCCTGCTATTCAAATTAAGGAACTAATTAAATCTTGCTGGTTGGTGCCTCTGCCCAGATGAGCCAAGCCCTAACCAGCTGTACCCAAGGGTGCAAACCCCCTCCTGCTGCAGCACCCGGGGGCAGGTGGCAGAGGAGGGAGGGGGCAGCCGGGTCCCCTGGGTACCCCCTGCAGGGGCCGTTGGGTTGGGCGGGATGGGGAAGTGCCACAGGCAAATTCTGTGCTGCAGAAACTGCCTTGGGCTCTTTCACACCCACGTGTGAGCAGCTCTTTTTTGGGGGTGGCTGGATTTTTTTTTTTTTTCTTTTTTTCCTTCCCCAAAGTTAAATTTCGCAAGCCGGATTTGCACATCAGAAAGGGGCCGTTCACAGGACGTTTTGCATCTCGTCACTTTAAATCGAGCTGAAACACAACAGAAAGAAGTGGGTAAGGGTTGTGGCGAAGCACGTCATCCACACGTGTCTGCAGCAACATTTGTTCCAGGCCAGCTTCTGCTGGAGTGAAAAAAAACACCCTCAAAAAAAAAAAAATCTTTCTTGGGGTTTTTCTACGAGCAGACCCTGGCAGGTTTGCGTGGGCAGGGAAACCCAGTGTCACCATTCAACGGTCCCCGGTGTCCCCTGTGCTCTCTGGGTGCCACCAGCAGCTTCTCTGTTCCTCAGCCCCTGCATGGTGGCTGCTGCTTAAAACTGCAACGCCCTTCCTGTCCCCTTTGGAACCTGTTCACAGCTGGAAAATCCAGATTATCGTGCATCCATGGAAGGGAGAAGCTGCACAGCCTCCAGGTGCTCTGCACACCCCCTGTGGCAGCAGTTGCTCTTCGGAGCTCAGACAAAGAGCTCTGTTCAGAGAGGACCTGGGATACAATTTTTCCAAGACCTCCTGGCCCTTGATCCTCAAGGAACCCAAAATAAATCCCCCACCAAAAAAAGCAGTGGCCATCTTCATTGTTTACAGCCCAACCAGGGCTCTCACAGGAGTCCAGAACACGAAAGCACCACAGCCAAGAAGCACAAGGGCAGGATGCCCAAGCGTTACCTGGAGACAGGCTTGGACCACAACCAACATGGATCCTCCCTAAGCCCTCCCTGAGCCCCCAAAACTGGCTGACCCAAAAGCCCAGCCCCAAAGCTCCCCCTGCTCCCCAGGGAGAGGGATCCTGGTCCCAGCTCTGCAGCCCAGGGCCATCGGTAATTAAGCCGGAGCAGTGAAATTCAGCTCGTGACGCCGTATTAATCCTCTCTGCTGTTTCCAAGCTGTTCCTTTACCTTCCCTGCTGCTCTGCTGTCGGGGCCACTGACTCGAGAACTGCTCACTGGGCAGTTTAGAGGCTTTTACCGTAATCAAGAGGATTTCTCAGCAGTCACTGCTGGAGAGAGACTCCGAGTGCTGACTTCTCATTTTCCAGGAAAGCACAGAGGATGGAGAGAAAGGCTCTGCCTTTGCCCACCCAATGCTCATGGGATTTGGGGGTGCTCCTGCCCTTGGTTTTGCCAGGATCCCCGCTCTGGCATAGCCCAGGGCTGGACACTTCCCCACTGAAGGAGTGCACAGTGATGCCAAAACGCTGCCAAAGCCAATTCCAAAGAGGAAACAAGAACCCGGCTGGCAGCAGCCTCGCCAGCCCAACATGGAATAGGCAGCACTTGAGAGCTGAGCCAAAGCACCAGGCAGGTTTATCTCGACGCAACAGAAGAGCTTTAGAGCCTTTAATTCCCCACCTCGAATTTTTTTTAATACTTGACCCCCCCCAACTGCTACAGCTGATGCTGGTGAGCCGCCCTGCTGAGATGGAGCCGGGGACATCCCTGCCACGGCTGAACCCTGCTCTCATTTCCTCCCTTTCCAAAGGCAGCAAGCCCAAAAAAACATCTCCAGGAGTATGAGTTGCAGGTTCCTCCCACATCCTGAGACCAGCTGGAGCTGGCAGCACCCAGCACTGTGAAACCCATCAGTGCTGCTCACAGCCCTCACCAAACCTCCCCATTTTTCCCCCCCTCTTCTTCCCCTTTTTGATAGAGCCTGGGAAATACTTTCACCTTTTCCTGTTCAAGATACTCTACCCTGCACCATGACAGCACTGCTCCAGTGTGCTCCCCACCCCATGCCCTCTAGGCTGGGATATGGGTCCTGGCTGAGATGGAAAAGCAAAAGGCAAAGCAGATCTCAGAGAGGGAGTGAGAAAGAAGGAGCTGGATTAAATCAGCCTATTCTCCCTCACCACTGGGGGTTAGTCCCCAGCAGAGGACAGGCTGCAGCAAGTACCCAACCCTTACTTTACACATCAGAGAATCCACTCAGGCCGCCCCAAGCGTGCTTGGCTGGCTCTGCCCTTGGAGGGGGACAGACAGCAGCCTTATATCATGCACCCCATGACACACACAGCCACTGCCAGTTTGGGAAGGGGTGTGCCTGTGCTCCACATCCCCCCCCAGCCCCGTGTCCCCTCCAGTACCCACCACCACGGGCCGGTTCCCCAGGAAGTTGAGGTCGCTGTTCTCCCCAAAGAGATACCCCTCGGGGTGCGTGGAGTCGAACTTCTCGCCTCCCATGATGAAGTGGTTGGCAAAGTAGCTCCCTGGAAATGAAAACACAGCGAGTGCCTCAGCAGAGGGGGAGGAGGGGGCCTCAGCTGGACGATGGAGCGGCACGAAGCCACCGGATCGATGGCTCCGAGGTGACTTTGTCCCCAGGGTCACCTTGCTGGGAGCCTTTCGGGCTGAGCTCACACGCTGACAGCCCCCAGGGAAGGAAGAGGCCAAGGGAGAGCTGGCCAAGACTGCCTTGCATCCCCTCTTCCCCCTGCTCATATGGCCAAAATCTGGGCAGACAGAGCCAGGAAGGGGAGAGGCTGGTGCAGGGGTCTATTCCCATGGCAGCACCAGACCCAGGGGCTCCTCCACCCTGGGGCATTTAACGGGAGCAGATTCACACCCCAGAGCTTTGGCAGCTGCAGCACCTGCTCCCCTTTCCCTTCCCAGGAAATCCCTGTGAGCCCCAGCGTGGCCTGAGCCACCCAAGGTCATCCCGACCTTCAGCCATCCCTGCACTGGCAGGGGTAGCCCGATCCTGGTCTGTGAGGAGAAAGAGGAGACAGCTCCCAGGGTGGCAGAGCAGGAGAGCAGTTCTTGCTAATCCTTGGCATTAACACCAGCTCATGCCCCGAGGAGGCAGAAGAGGCAGCAGCACTGCCTGACCTGCCAGAGAACCCAGAACCCTGCAAGTCCCAGAGGAGCCAGGCCAGCTCCCACATCCCCAGGGATGCTGCCAGGAAGGGGCAGCATGGACCAGGCACACAGCCCTCAAAACAGGCAGGGTTGATCCTGTCCAGAGCCCGGTGACAGGGACCTTGTGTGCCACCCAAGGCAGCACGTCCACAGCCAGACACAAATTTGCTTCAGCTGCCACCAGGAAGGTGGGCAAAGCACAACTGAACCGAGTTCCCTCAGTTCTCAGCTTGCAGCCTTCCCTAGGAAGGGCTCACCTGCAGGAGGGAGGATTTTGGGGGGGCTGCAGACCCTCCAGGAGCTCAGCAATGCCCTTGCAAAGTGTTCCACGTCGCCCTGATGAACACTGGGCAATGACCAGTGTCCCTTCTTCCCTTGCAGGGTAAACCCGTTCCCTAAGCTGGGAGCAGCCCCCAGGTCAGGCACTTCTCCACTGGAAGGGATTTTCCTCCCAGCCCAGACAGGAGCTGACTGGTGCCTGCTCCTTGTCCATGAGATCTGGGCTGCATGGGGAAAGCATGTTGTGGCACAGGATCCAGCTGGGCAAAAGAGTCAGGAACTGACGTGGAAAAAGAAGGGAAAGGGGGACAGGATAGGGCAGCAGCGATGGGTGAGCATGGGAGTCAGGAGAGGCAGTGGATGTAGGACAGACAGGGTGTCCTGCATCTCTATGGCCACAGGGACAGGTCTGGCTTCTAAAAACCCCAAACCCACCAGCACAGATCCATCCACAGCCCCCCCTGGGGACACCCCAAAACTAAACCATTGGGGCCACAGACAAAAGGAGCTCAAGCCTGGGCTGCAGCTCTGCTTGTGGGGACTGCAGTCAGAGGCTTCCAGCACATGCAGGGACTGTCCAGGGCTGGATCAGGCTTTAATACTGCATTTAAAAACCAAAGCCAAGCCCAAAGCCCGAGGGGTGGAGGAGCAGGGATGTAACACCAGGGCAGGAGGGGTGAGTGGGGCCACAGAGCTTCGCCCCGAGGCCCCGTGGCACCGGGATGCCCGGATGCAGCGTGCCCGCTAGCAAACGTCGACCATCAATTATTGATGCCTGCTGCTTTCAGGTCCCATTTTCCATCTACATAATTTATAGGCAGCTCGCCTGGAAGGACGCGGCCACGTGGAAAAAAAAACAACCCCAGGAGCAAAGTGCCTTCGGAGCTGCCTGAAATGGCACGGCCGGGGGAGAACGGGGCCATCAGGAGCTTTTCCTGGCACTGACTTGGAGCAAGAGCAGGAGATGGTAAAAATAAAATAATATTTAAACCTGAAGAAAAGCCGTCCCAGCACCAGGAAAAAGCTGGAAAATCGAGCACAGGCTCTCTGTGATGGCACCAGCCGTAGTCTGGTGGGTGCTGGGGGCTCCTGTAGGACGGGCAGAGTGGGCAAGGATCCCACTGCTGTCACCCAGGCTCCCTGCCAGGGATTGGGAGCATCCCTGCAGGTTTCCAGCACAGCCCCAAGAGGCTTCAGCTCCCCCTTCACAGCAAACAGCACCAGCCCAATGCTCCCTCACAGGGAGGATCCTCCAAACCCCTTGTCATTAAACAAAAGCCTTGAGTTGTGCCAGGCTCTTCCAGGGAAGCACCAGAATGGGAAAGCCCAGGGCACTGGCACAGGAGCGTGTCGGTGACTCCATGGGCACTGGCAGGTGGCAGAGGAGGGAAGCACCTTCCAGGCACAGACACCTTATTATCAGCTAATTGTAAATCCTCACCCAACGCCTACTCCCGGGGAAGGAGAGCCCGTCAAGGACGGTCGCATCTCAGGAAGGACTGCTGGAAAGGGGGAATAAACCCAAACTGCCTGAGGTTCCTGGCAAAAAAAAAAAAAAAAAAAAAAGCATGTCCTGCACATCTGCCAGCACCAGCACCCTTTTCCCCATGAGTGCCAGGGATGCCACCCTGCTCAGGTGCACAGAGAAGGGCGAGGACCCCAAGGGCACAGCCCCTGGTGTGTGCTATGGCTGTGCCTGTGCCTCTGGCACACTGGCACATGTCCTGCACTGTCCCCTGAGCCCTCATGGGGTCTTGCTCAGCTCTGGTACCACAATCTCGGGCTCTCCAACGTTACAGCCTCACTCTCCAAAGCAGCTAAAATAGAACAGCTCGTTCCCAGCCCATCCACACGCTCCCAGGGAGGGGAAGCACCGGATTTGCACAGCCTGCGGTCAGCCCAGCCGGGTGGCCGTGGCACGGAGCTGGCACAGGGATACCCTGCGGCAGTGGGTGCCAGCACAGGGTGCTGTGATGGTTAAAAGGCTCTGAGTGCCCCTGGGCAGCCCATTATTTAATTCAGTGCTCTAAAGCAGGCAAACAGGACCAGCAGCAGCTGGAGGTGATGCCAAACCCTGTCTGCAGCACTGCTGCGTCAGCCCTTGCCCGCCCTGGCAGTGCCACCACCGAGTGCCCCAGGACAGGGGGTGTCACTGCCGGGTTAATCCCTGTGCTCCTCTGCCCAGCCAGTGCCCTACTCATGGTCCCACGTGCCCCAGGGGACCTCAGTGCCAACCACAGCCAGTGGCAGGGGCTGGGGACCTGCCCCACAGTCGTCCCACAAGCCAGGCAGTGGGCTCCAAAAAACAGCCCCAGCTGGCTCTCCCTCCTATTGCCTTTGCCAGCCACTGAAGTAAACCCGAGCCCTTGTTTCAAAATTCTGGCTTAATTAATCCCATTTACACCTTGCCTGGAGGGGATGGGACCCCCAGGATGGGGAGATGTTTAACTGGGACAAGACACAGCTGCCCTACTCCCACGGGCTGCACTGGCCATTCCAAGCGAGCCAAAGCCACATCCCTAGAGAGAGGGAAATGCCCCAGGGTCCCGTGAGATCCCACTCCAAAGCCAGCGGCTGTTTCCAGCCGGCATTCGAGGCGTGAGAAGCGCTGCCGCCACGGAGGAATCGGCTCCGCCGCCCTGCACGTCCCCCCTCTTCAGGCTGCCGGCAGCGCTGAAGGCAAATCCCACTCGGATTAAAAGCAAACCAGCCATAATCTCCCACTGCCACCAGCCTGCCCTCGTCCCAGTGCAGCTGGCCACGTCACCTGGGCACCTCCTGCCCCTCTCCCCAGGCAGCGCCGGGACCGTCCCCCATCTCTGCCCAGGCCCCACCCGTGGGACCAGCCCAGCTGAGCACACCCAGGAGCCCCAGTTTCTCCCTGGAAGCCGGACTGAAGCATCATCCTGGTGACCTCCACCAGCTGAGATGAGTTTGGAAGTGCTCAGCTGGGTGCACTTGCTCCCTCAGAACAGGGCACAGGACTTGCACCCTCCACCCTTTCAGATATTTCAGGAGCCCCTAAATAAGAATAGAGTCACAAGGAAAAAACCCTTAATTGATGGAGCCACAGCCCCTGCAAAGAGCAAACCCATGGATGGGGTGGTCCAGCTTCACCTGGCATCAAGGTGACAGAGGCCTTGAAACCATGTGAAAGAGGGAGCAGGGGAAGACCCCCAGGAGGCCAGGCTGCCAAGGACCGGCCATCTCCAGCCAGCTGTGTAACCTATTTTAGGTTAAAATGAAAAAAAAAAAAAAAAAAAAAAAAAGACAAGCACAGCTTTCCAGGACAAGCGCAGGGTTTGTGTTGGCTGTAATTCTTCCTAAGGAGGTCTTTAGTTGTAATTAGCGAGCAATTTGTCACAGCGCTAACGATCCAAGCATTTACCTTATCCTATTAACTACCAAAATAGTTGCCTATTAATAATATTCAGTGCCGCAAGGATCCTGTGGCAACATCCCCCCACACACAAACACACAGGGAGCTCCGGGGCATCGTTCCCTGATGCCGGTATTTTTGCGGCTCTGAAGCGCTGCCGGACCCCATCGCCTCCCCCCGCCGTGCCCCCCATAAAGCCCCCCCCGGACACCCACTCAGCTCGGTCCTTGCAGGGAAAAGTGAGGCATGGAGGGGAGGGACGCATTTTCCAAGGTCACGCACAAGGTTTGAGACAGGGCCAGATTCAGGAGCAGGAGATGCATCATCACCGAGCCTCCAGGCAGGGAGAGGAGCCGGGAAGGCAGAGGCTGGGGTGCTGCTGTGGGGCAGAGCCCTGGGAAGGAGGGATCCCCTCCAATCCCTCCCACCCCAGCCTCCCTCATCCTCCCGGGAATTTAAACCCAGGATTTTCCCGAGCAGCCACCAACGGATCGACAGGCTATAAATATAAAAAGCGCCTTCGGCGCCCGGTGCCGCAGACCACGGGTACAGAAATAATTACAATAATAATGTCATTAAAGTCGCGTCAACTCAGCCAAGTTTGGGAACCGTGCTAGGCTGGCAAAGGGGCGCCACGAGCGAGGTGACCCCATCCCTGCTTGCACCCAGGGTGTCCCTCATCAGCCCCAGATGTTTAGGGTGCCCCCCTCCCCGTGCGTCAGGGTCTGCTATGGGGGGCACAGGGACACCCCGGCCCGGAGCAAGGTCGTGCCCGGTGCCCGCCCGGCTCGCTCCCCTCTCCCCCTCCCCACAGGCGGCACCGGGACGCGAGGACCCCCGGGGGGCTCACCGGATTTCGGGGGGTATCTGTAGACGGAATTAGTGGGGATATCCACTTCCTCCACCCCTGCGTTCTGCCGGCTGGTCAGAGCCCCCATGGCCGGGCTGGGGCTCAGCGGGCGGGGGGCGGCGGGGCGTCCTCCCGCCCGGGACGGGGGCCGGGACCGGGGCTGGCGGCTTCCCCCGCCCGCAGCATCCTCCGCTCCGCTCTGCGCCGCGCCCGGCGCCGCCTCCGCGGCACCGCGGGGCTGCGACAAGCGGGGCGGGGCCGGGAGCGGCGGCACGCCCCGACCCACCCACCCCGGAGCGCTCCGGCTCGGCCGTGGGGATGAGGGGACGCTGCCCCTGCACCCCGGATCACCCGGTGTGCCCCCACACCCGCCCAGCGGGGTTCCTCCCCTCAGGTGCCACTTACCTGTCCCCTGCGGTGGTACACGCGTGCCCACAGTGCCACCCGCCTGCCACCCCCTGTGTCACACAGATGCCTCCAGTACTGCTCAGTGGTCCCTCTCACCATTACCTGCCACTCCCAGTCACACCACCCAGTGACCCCTGCCCACCCCGGTATCACCCCCCTCCTTGCCCCCATCCCCACCAGTGACACTGGGCAGCACCCCCAGCCCAGGGACCCCCAGGGACAGTCTGGGCCCCTGAGGCTGGTTCAGGGCATGACACCTCTGTTCCTGTGCCGTCCGCGGCTCGGGGGGCTCCTGGGGGAAGGACAAGCCCCCCACTTTTCCCAGCAGGTCACATGGGGAAGCGGTCAGTGCAGCTGCTGGCACTGATCAGCTGCTGCTGATCCCCTCCAGCAGCACCCCAGGGCTGCACAGCGCTGGGGGGAAGAGGGGGCAGGTAAAAGCCCCCCTCCAGTGCACACCTCTGTCTTCCCCATCCTTCCCAGCTCTGCTCCGCACCAGGAGCAGCTGCATCTGCCAGGCACAGCCTCTGGAGGCAGGAGCTGCCTGTCTGCTCCAGTGCACCCCAACAGATCCCCCAGTTCCCCCAACGTTACATTACTGGGAAGCACTGGGCAGCCCCTCATTTTCCCCTTGGAGCTGAAAGGGAAGGATGGACGCTTTGACCAGTTGCTTAAGCCCACCGGTGATTAATTAGTCTGGCAGCGCAAGTTAGTGGAGCATCACATGATTTTGATTTGAGTTGATAACACGAGCGCTATAAATATCAGACGGGAGATGTGCAGAGAGGCGGATCAGCTGCCTCGATGGCCTCAGCTACTCAGTGGTGATGAGCAAAGGTTGTCCCCGGGGCTCCCCCCTTCACCCCCTCCCCGCAGAGAGACACACGGATCCCCCTCCTCAACTGCTTCCTACATGCACAGCCCCAAAGGCGGCTGAGAAAAGCCAAAACAAAGAGCAGCCACCGCCATGGGAAGCCCAGGGGTGGCTTTTTACCCCATTTGTCAGCCTGTCACTGTCACACCGGGAGCCACAGCCCCAGCAGTGACACTGTGTCCATGCTCTGGGATGTCACACCTGGGCTTGGTGCCAGCGGGAGCATCGGCCAAAGAAAAGGACTTGGACTCCACGATCTTAAAGGTCTTTTCCAACCTAAATAGTTCCACGAGGGGCAGAGGGTGACATCAACACCGGGAGCCTGCTCCAGCTCTCAGTGCTGGCACCCAGCTGGGAACCCCAAGGGCTGATCCCTGCTCACCCCAACACTTATTTTGGGGAGCCTGTTCAGGACATGAATCATTTACAAACCCAGCACAGCCCTGCACTGCTGAGCTGCCAGCCCTGCTCCCCTGCCTCACTCCAGCCAGCACCGACAGCGGGAAACACGAGCCTGGGAAAGGGAGCCAGAACATTTCATTACCGGCACACACCAGACTGCAGGGTTTTAGTGCAGACAATAATTCAAAGTTATCCCCGTGCAGATCCACAGCCCAGCAGTCATTACAGGCAGAGCTGCTGCCTGCACGCAGGGCTCGTGTTTTTTTTTTTCCCAGCGATTACTGCAGCAGAGGATTTTGTAGGACAGTGCCGCAGTGGAGCGCGGGAGCGCTGGCAGGAGCTGGGTGGTGACACGGCTTCGAGGGCAGGTTCCCTCCCAGCTCTGCCCGGCCGTGTTCCCAGATCCCAGCACACATAAAGCTGGGACAAACCCCAGCGGAGGAGACCTGGAGGGGGAACTCAGAGAAAACACAGCGTTTAACCCCAAAATGCACCTGCTGCTGGAAAAGATGCAAGTCTGAAGCTCGCGCTGCCCCGCTGTGGGATTTGGGGTGTGCGTTCGGCAGGGAAGGAGGATCCTGCTCTTGCCTCCTTGTGCCGAGGGGGAAACTGAGTTATGGCAGAGCACAGTGGTTGAAGTTAAAGAGAAGAGCGAGCGGCTCACCCACGGCAGCAAACACCTGTCTGTACACCCAGTCCATTCCCAGTGCGCTCCCAGTTCCCCCAGCAGTCACTGGCACACGCTGTGGAGCCACCAAGCCCTCTCTCCCTGGGCTGTCTCTGCTCCCAGCCTGGGCAGCCCCGCAGGAGGCAATGGCTGGGGAGGGGTTGGCCCTCCATTGGTGGGTGCTGAGCCCACACGAGGGCTGCCGTGTCCTTGGCCCCCCAGCTCCCGGCTGGGAAGGTTCTGGGAGCCCACCCTCTGCCCAGAGGGGTGACCCCAGACCCCTGGGGATTCCATCTGGGTGGCAGGGCAGCTGGGCAGATGGAAAAGCATCTGGGCAGGAAGGGGAGACAGCAAATCCTGCCCTCGCTGCAAATGCTGCCCCAAAAAGGGGGTTAATTTTCGAGGACTGAAGGTCCTGCTGACTTCTCCAAGTGTCACAAACACTGTTTTGTCACGGCCTCGGTCGCCAAGGGCTCACGAGCAGCGTTCTATGGGTTTCCCAGGTAGGCACTACACGAGGCTGGTTCCTCCCAGCTTTGCTAACTCAGCTCAAAGCTGCACATGAGTGGGTGGCTTTGGCAAGCAGGAGGTTCTGAGAGCTCTCCAGGGCTGCGTGCAGGAGGCAGGTGGGTTTGGGATCCTGGCATCTGGAATTGCACCTCTCACTCCTACACCTGCCTCAGGGCTGGCTTTGCCCCAGGAGGATGAAGCCACCTCCAAATTCTCACCTGGGCAAGCAGGGCCCTCCATACCCGCTGCTGCATCCCGGTGAGTGGGATCCCCCTGGACATCCCAGGGTGATATCCAGCCTGGGGAAACACACACTAGCGTTGCTTCTCCATCACCTCCCTGCCTGCTGGACCTCATCTCCATGGGACCACCAGGGCTTTGCACAAGGCCCGCAGGGACTCTCACACACCGAGTGCTGGGGACAACTGGCTGCAGATGCTGCTTCAAATTTCCATTCTTCCCCCTCCTCATTCCCTCTCCCGTGGCTGGCTGGTCACCACAGCCACATCCAAACCTGCCATGGCTCTTTCCAGCTCAATCTATTCCCACACCATCCATTTGCAAAGTCCCTGGTTTGTTCCTTTGGGGTTTAAATGCCAATTCTCCCTTTTTAACTAAAGCACTTCAAGGTATGTGTCACACCAGTCCCACTCACTCCCCAAACCCAGCAGTGGTGAACACACCAGGGGGGAGCTCACCTTTGCAGGCTGAGACTGAAGCTCAGAGTCACCAGGATTTTAACCATTACCAAAACATCCCAATGGCCCCAAAACTGGGAGGTTCCCCAAGCCCCTCATGCCGAGGCCTTCAAGGGGGAAGGGCACAGGGATGAACTGAGGCTGGGTCCTCCCTCCTGCCCCCCAGCAGCAGGTGAGGGTGCCTGCCCCGGGGGGAACAGGGAAGGAGGGCAGGGAGGGTGCTCAGAGAGCCTTGTTGAGGGAATGGGGGAGCCTTGTTGGGGGGAGCCAAGGCAGGGGGTTAAGGGGAAGCACCCACAGGGCAGCAGAGCCCCCCCTCAATGAACCCTCCCCCTTAATCAACCCCCCTACAGTGAGCCCCCCTCCCCTCAATGAAGCCCCCTCTCAATTAACTTCCCCTACAATGAAACTCCTCTGAATGAACCTCCCCCTCAATAACCCCCCTGACAATGAACTCCCCTTACAACGAGCCCCCTCCCGCAGTGAACTCCCCTCTCAGTGAACTTCCCCCACAGTGAGACCCCTCTCAGTGAACCTGCCCCTCAATAACCACCCTTACAATGAACCCCCCTCTCCTCAATGAACCTCCCTCTACAAT